TAGTAATAAATTTTTAAGCAACATATTTTATTATTATCTTGATAATTTTCATTACCTCATAAATATAACTACTCTCAGATAGATTTGCTGTGCATTTGTTGATTTTAGTGCAATAATCATCCAGTGCACTTGATATGATATCTCAACTAGGCTCCAAATGCATTTGACTTAATGATAAATTGTATCGACCATGGACCGTCGACTTTTTACGAGAATGTTGATAATACACTTTTTTTTTTATATAAGAAACGTAATTTTAAAAAGAAGGCAGTGATAAAAGCATTTACCATGATAATTCTTGTGTATGATTCGTCTATAAGTATCTGAAGACAACGAGGCAAGAGATTCTAAGTACTACCCTTCGTTAAAGAAAATTATTCGTTAGCAGCACTATATTTACTATCTCCTCCCCTGAAACAAAAATACGTTTAATGTAGAAAGAAACATGGAGATAACGAACAGTATTCAAGATCAAAAGTCCATAAAACAATACAAAATAGGTGCAGAGCAAACAAGGACCTCCAAAACACCAGAGGTGGGATCAGGTGCCATGGAGAAGTGAGCATCCCTTGCCGACCGGTCACATCCGCCGTGTGCTCCTTGTTCTGATCAGGAAATAACGGAAAAATCCGTCGTCAATTCAGTATATAAATAATGGACTAACAATTAGTATGAAAAATGCCAGTCAGCATTTGACTCAAAGAAAAATTGTATTTGCTGACAAGGTCATTGTATCGACTATAGAACGTAAGAAATGATGGCTTTAAACGAGACTGCTGATATTCTTGTTTCATCAACTTGTTTGTCAATAATTTACCTCGTTTTAGAAATTATTAATACGTAGAGCATGGTCTTGCTTATCGAATCAACTGAGATATATAAACTCAGTATGCAGGCTATGAGGGTATATTTCTGCATAAGTACGGGAAGTTGACGATAGAAAAGTTAAAGTCATCATGATTATCATAGAACTTGATTGTTAGATTACCATTAACGTCTTTTTCAAGTAAAATATCCAAATATGAAACATGTGTCAGACTATATGGTATCTTTTATCTCAAGCTCTCCATGATATATCGTATCGACATGAGAATGGAAATTACCATTGTTAATTGACAATACACCGACGATATATCTAAATTTCGAGTTGAAGGCCATATAAGTGTTTTATTCTTTTCTTTTCACGCATAAGATTTTGCACAAATTCTGCTACATATGAATACAAAAATAGGTTTACTTATAACGGAGCACAATCATTACCCATGGGAATTCCACTAGATTGTTGGAAGACCTGATCTCCAAAAACAACATAGATATTGTCAATCAGAAACTCAATTATCTTTTTGATGCCAACTTCAGAATACTTGTGTGTACAATCGGACTGTTTTTTAACAAAATAATTTGGCTAATGACCAATGACAAGGTAAGTTAATTTATGAGTTCTATTTTCATTAAAAAAGGAGCTGTCGATGATAATCAAAAAGCCTGCACTTTAAATTATCATGGGGAATGGTTGTATTTAAAGTTGAAAAGTCGTAAGTTTTCAAGCTTTTGATTTTGGTAAGATCTTGTGATTTCAAATTGTCCAAAAGTTCCTTGGAATATTTAAGTATCCACATCTGATTTACACCACTTCTTGAAAATATTGTTGCACAGCACTCTCGAAGTTTCTCCTTCATTACTGTTAATATGTTAATGAGGAGTAACGAAAGAGGTTGAGCATTTACTGGAACCTGCAATGTATTTTTGTTTGTATGGATGTTATTTGTCTCATTCTCTCTCTTTTAAATGAAAGGTTCAATTTTTACAATTTTAATGCATTTCAATTTTATTTTTCTTTTAATTTTCTCAAAAGTAATAAATGTAGTTAAAATATGTTTTTTTTTCAATAAATCAAATCCCACGAGGAAAACATGATAAGGCGATTATTTTATAATCATTGGAAAAAAAAAAGTTGTAGCAGTACTGTATGCAAAGAATACAGAATTATTTTTGGATAATGAAATAAGTAGATGCGGTTTGCTGGATTAATTTGTTATCTTTTTTTGTTAAATTTCTACGTATCAATAATTGCTACTTAAATTGACCCGAATTTTGCTGCAACACAATGTAGCATGTTTAGCTTCATTACTTTAATTAATTGTTCCCTGTTTACATTATGCCATGATCTTTTGTATAACTAGTACATGTATCATATTTTGCTTTTGCTTTATAACTATGTACACTGTTTTCTATTTTGCTCTATTACTTTATCTCTGTTTGCTTAGCGCGTTTTGCTGTATTGCTATATATTGTGTTGCGCTGTGTTCCAATATACTGTGTTATATAACAGTATTATTATAATAATTATAATTATCGGTTTTTGCAGTTTATGCTGTATGTTTAATGCCTGACAAAGTTTAAACTTGTCTCTCCATACAAAATACACAGACTGTAATAATTTTGTTGCTTTTGAAATTATCCATCTCCAATTTCCACCCGGATCATCCGTCAATTCCATTATTTAGAATCTGGGCCCCGGTCTTTTTATACATTTATGACCCAGTTCTAGGAAGACCTGGAATACTGATTAAATTATTAAACACTGAGCATATTTTGGACAGTGTAAGTAAACAATAAGATGATTGTGTGCGGAACTCATAAATAATTACTTTCATTGCTCTGCTTTTAGAAAGGCCAGCATCCTGTGTGCTGATTGATAAGATCATATCATAATCAGGAAGCACATTGAATTTTCTAGTCTAACTAATAAAAAAAACGATGAAAAGTATTTTGTACATGTTAAAAGAAATGAAATGCATTGATGAAATACATTGAAACAGATTATTTAACAACAGCAGCAGTGCTGAGAAGCACCGTTGTTTTCATGATAAAATAGACTTGAATATCACCTAATTATGAAGACTTATGACACATGTCTCGTTTTTTTTCCCCTTAAAAAATCATGGAAGTCGTGGGAAAACCACATTTTTTTGCTGAAGTATGACTGAACTTCTAATGAGTGGTCAATGACGGCTCTGCAATCTATCAACAAAACCACAGACCATGTCCTCATTTTTTTTCCTTTCACTTGTTTTTTCTAAAATATAAAATTTTAAAGCTAATTATTCCTTCTGGAAAATAAAAAAATGTTTGTTTGCCTTCTCCCTACTAAGGACGGAGATTTTTTTTGCCAGTCGGTCAGAAGAGAATAATCAAACAATGTTATAAACATCAAACCCAGGTGCAATTTAGCGACTTTGAACGGAGGTCTTTTGCAAACCACTATTAAAATAAAGTTTTTTTTTAAAATAATAATTTCAATAGTGGTAGAAAATGTTTTTAAAACCTAAATCAGTTTGCAACCACTATTGATAATACGTTCACTATTATTAAATAAACTCAATCGTGGTTGAAAATATTTTTTAAAACCTAAATCAGGTTGCAACTACTATATATTGATATTACGTTCACTTTTATTTAATAATTATATCAATAGTGGTTGAATATGTATTTCATAACCTTAATCCGGTTGCAATCACTATTAAAATATTGTTCACTATTGAAATTATTATTTCATTAAAGCTTTAAAAAAAATAAGAATGCATTATAAAACAAAACCACTATTAAAATAAGACGCACTATATGAAAGAGGTTAATATAACGAACAATGATTGATCTAAGAAAAAATTATAAACAATAAAAAAATGTGAAAGGGGCATTGACACCAACCCTTAAAATTCCAGAGGAGGGATCAGGTGCCTAATATACCACACCTGCAGGGAGCCCTACATGTATATATATTGATCAGGTAGAGGGAATATTCTGCAGTCAATTTCAGCATGAAAACGAGGACTACAATGTAACAACTTGTATGAAATATGCCAATCAAAATGAAAGAAATATCTGGAAAATTGTTATTGAAAAGGATAAATATAATCAAAGGTATCAAATGTCTTCATTGTTTACAAATATATATAAACTAATCAAATTAAAGAGTACGCTTTATTGCATGCCGATTTTGATGTGTAAAACAATGGAGATAACGAACATTATTCTAACTCAAATTTTTTCAAGCAATACAAATCAGAAGCAGAGAAAACACGGACTTCTTAAAATTCATAGATGGGATCAGGTACGGTGGAGGAGTAAGCATCCCTGCCGACCAGTCACACCGCCGTGTGCTCCTTTTCTTGATCGGAAAATAACACAAAATACGTCAACAATGCAGTGTTTAAATAATGCAAACTTAGTATTAAAACGCCAGTCAGCATTTCGATTTAATGATAGATTGTGTTTACTTGTATCGTTGTATCGACATTACAACATGTACATATGTAAAAAATCAATGACATATATTAAAAGTAACTTTATTATTGGACATCTGATTTTAATAAAAGTTAATCATTAATATACAAAACTCATATATTTTTTTAAAAGTACAAGGTCGTTTTTCAGTTTTTGTGGTTGGCAGTTTTTGTTTTTTAATAAAAGTTGGTTTGTTTCACCCTCTTTTGATATAAACTCATCATTGAATTTTTAAAAATGATTTTCATAAATTTTAAGTTTGGGTGTGAACACATCAAAACTATACATTTACACACTAATAATAAAATATAATGCAAAAAATTAAGAATATAATTTTACTTTCATATATATAACCAGTAAACCTAGTGACTAAGTATGTATGGATGGATAAATAAATTCCGTTATCACATTTATTATTTTTTTCACAAAAAGGTGAATGATGACATATAATAAAATGATAGAGCTTTGATAACGACGCATATTGTGAGATGAACTCAAATATGCGGTAATATATAAACCCGTAAGTTTTGTAGTTCATTTTTCAGCAATATTCTTTGTTGCTATGGATTCAAAGGCAAAGCTTGTGTGTTTTAAGTTTTACAAGAAAACAATTGACACAATTTTACTTGTAAAAGACATTTATATGAACTTAATTAGAAATAAAATGACAGCATTTAAACAAATTGAATGATAGTATATATACTTAGTAACTTTTTCTTGTTATACATATCGACCGAAACAAAATATTTTGTGAGCAATCTTTTTACATTGCTTTCTGAACTTGCTACTTAGGAAACTATATATGACTGGATTAAGCGCACTGCTGAGCATGTAAGAACGTAAAAACACATTGTACACAGCCTTTCCGGTGGTTGAGAGGCTCTCATAGTGGCAGCTATGTGTATACCGTATAAAGACAATGGTACAGTATGGTATAAATGAAGCAATGAACAAGACCGTCACTAGAAACAACATAAATGTCGATTTGAGCATTTGCCTCCGACCTCTTCTGTCCGCCTTGGCAAATGATGGTTTAGAGGAATGTACCTTTTTGGTCGAAATAATGGTGACAGTCGAACCCTTTCTGTCTAATGAATCATATTTTGATTTGATAGAATGTGAGCCGTTTACTGCAGACTGTTTCCTATCATACCGATTGTCTTTTTCACCGTTAACAAGAATAGGATCATTGACTTCATGGGAGTATTCGGCAGAAAAGTCGACACTGTCATTTGTCGACATGGCAAATTTGGGGAAAAACTGGTTAGTTTCCCGTATAGCCTTGATTGACCTACTTCCGATATACACATACACACATATCATTATGAGATCAATAATACATGTTCCAACGGTCAGTATTATATTAAAAAGTAATGGATACATGGTTAACGTTAAGTCATCTTCAACGAGACAGGTTTGTCCTTTTAAACACAAACCCTTCGCAGAAGGAAGTGGAATGGTGATTGTTTGAGACCCGTAAATGAGAAGAGATGGCCATGAGAACAGGAATGCCATCACAAACGCTATACTGATCACGATTTTGGTAACTCTATTACTGTATGGCGGTTTTAAAGGTTTATAAATCCTCTTGAATCTGTCGATTGCAATGAATAAAAGCACAAACGAGGACGCATTGTTCATGGAAAAGGTGATAAAACGAGACATTTTACATAATGTCGGACTAGGATTCACAATAAGATTGAAAATAAAGTATAACTCCGTTGGAATGGTGAATAAACAATTCACAAGATCGAAAATGGCCAATGCTATAATCACGAGACGAGAGGGGGATCGGCGCCATGAGTGGTATACGTACACTACTAACACATTTCCTGGTATACCCAAAACTAACAGTAGAATGACGTAGGCAATAGTTGGAGTATAGATGGCCTCCACAGATTTCGTGTTTATCTTTTGAAGTAAATCCACACTGTCAATACATCTGCTGCATGTGACACAGACATTTTCTCCTGAATTAATAAGGTCTTCTTCAAAACAAGGTTCAAGCGTTTGGTTCATCCTTATCAAATCTGAAAAGAATCATAACAAATGAAAAATTTCATCAAAACAGTTTCCACATGTGATTAAACCGGAAACCAAAAATTAAAGGACGGAAGACGCTTAAAAGTGTCGCAAAATACTTCATCCTCTTAAAATGAGTGAAAAGGGGGTCACAATAAATCCCGCAATATCAGCTGACAACGTGTTTACAGATGACAGCTTAATTTCCTTTGCTCCTTTTTAACCCCAATGAGGGTTAAATCACACCTTACATGGTACCTTCTTTAGTCATTTCTAATGAAGGTTAAAATCTAAATCGTCGTTTTAAAAAAAAAAACTTGGTTGTTAAAATGTTAAGAAAAAAACACCTTGCTGGAATTTTCCTTGGTAACCGAACCATGAAACCTCCCACTCTCGGCTGTTTCTCTCATAATAAGATAAAGATCAGAGAACTAATACGACAAAGAGCACTGAAAACGCATGAACTATAAGTTGACTGTACGGATATATTTCCAAACACATGATCAATCATAATACCTGAATCATTTCTAAGTTTTGTAATTAGCATGGTTGTTGAGTGTATTTTTCTCCCAAAATTAGTGCAATTTATTGAGAAAATTAATTTCAGCTCAACGAGTTCAAAAAGCATTAAATAGTCTCAAATATTTTCAATTTAATCGAGGAATTCATCCAATTGCTTTTTTTTCCCAACTGTATAATGAAAATATTCATACTTGTGTTAAAATTAAAGAAATAAAAATATAATTCCTCTTTAGTCTTTTCATGAGAATTTAGGACGACAGTGATAGTTAATTTTTGATTTAATACGAAATCGGATATCCGGTGCCTTTGTCATGTACTTTTAAAAATACAAATAATGCTTTGTCAACAAGAATTTCCTCTGTAAACTTTAAACAAATACGAATCGTGCACTTCTATTTATAATACAATTCTCAAAGTCAACGCAACGTGTGTTTTTTTTAAAGATAATATACTGTTATTTATGGACCTGTTTAAAGCGAGAATGTAAGAACTTACTCTATAATATCTGTTTTTAATTCAATAAAAAATAATTTCGAATAGTAAACATGTAAGTTTATAATTCTTAAAAAAAATCAAAAATGCATCTTACGACAAACAGATGAAAAGATTACTAGTAATTGTCGATTAAAATTCTTACTACTTTACTTCATATAAGTGAACAGAGACACATGTAGCAGTCGAATAGTACATATACATACGTACTTAAAACAAATTACCTTTTTATACTTCTACAAAATTATCACAACTTCTGTAGCACAAGATTTATAACATTCTACTCCGAGTGAGCTTTTGATTCTTTTTCACATAATTTTTTTTGAACATCAAAATAAACTGGAGTTTGGTCCAAAGTTCCGATTTTTAATAATAACCAGTGGCTGTAGATTTCATGTCTGTGTGCTATTTCCTTGCGATATCCAACGGAACATGAACATTGAACGGAATTATACCAAGATTATACAAAAATAGAAGAGGGAACTGCAAATCAAATAAAAACAATAAATCTCGGAAAAGAAACTTTAAACTGTAGCCTCAAATAAATCTCTTTTAACAATACTTTTCTAAATTGATTTTCAAGGTTACACAGAAATAGAAGCAATGGAAATAGTGAATTCGATAAATGAAAACAGTGAACGATATCATAAAATCTTTATTCAATACAAATTTGTGAATATGGCGTAAACAAGGATTTCTGGAAATTAAATTAACTTGGAATCGGGTGCCTGACACCCGTCGTGAGCCCCTTTACAATGATCAGGTAGACAGAATATTCCGTTATCAAATTCAATAAAACAAAGATCTATCAATTGATATGAAACAAGACAGCAAAATTACCACGATTAGTTATATTATATGTCAATGTCATCGATCACTGAATTAACGCAATGCTAACGTCAGACGAGGTTGTTAAATTCCTGTAACACCAACTTGTTTGTCAGAAGTGTGCCACGGTTTACAAACAAATTGTACCAGGAACATGCTCTTGAGTATCGAAAAATTTGGGAGATGTCAACACCATCTGTAGGTGAATATAATTACAATTTAAAAGAAGAAAAAAATTGATTGATCGATTATTTTTTTAGCCAAAAAAACTTGACAATGGAAAATTAGAAATTATCTCGTTTGTAATACAGTTTAGTTTGTATGTTGGTCCTTATCGTCTGAAATAAGTAAAACATACAAATATGAAACAGATTTGACAGATTTTGTGGTGTCTTTTAAAGTTCACAGGGATATATCGAATGGGTATAAGAATGAAAGTAACTTTGGTGAATTTATAATAGATCGTCGATATATCTAAATGTCGAGTTAAAGGTATCAGGAAGTGTTTTTTTTCCTACTATGCAGAAGTTTTTGAATAATTTCTGCTTCATTTAAGAAATAACAAACGAAAAAAAAATTTTTGAAAGCGATAAGAACTAAAAACAACCTTTATATGATTCTTATACCAGTTCTTTTCTCGATAAAAATAAATCCAAAAATGGTTTAAAACCATTAAGTATATCAGTCTTCAGGGAATGTAGTCGGAAAGGAATAGCGCATATATCTTAAATAAATAATGTCTTAAAAATTATTTTAGACACAAAAGCTGATCGAAATTATTTTGGTGTGACTTTAAGTTTTTTATGAATAAGGTTTTAAATGTTTTCAATTTAAAAAATTACTGTATTTAAAATTATTGTAAATAACACACACATGAAAGGGTGAAACGGAAAATTATTTTGGTGTGACTACAAAATTTAAGAGATATTTTTATGAATAAGATTTTAAATGTTTTCAATTTCAATAAACGATTACATGTACTATATCAATGACTCCATTATAATTATATTTTAAAATAGCTTTTAAAAAATTAACCCTGTTGATAGGTAAAAATACAACAAATTTGCATTTAAAATTAATTTGTCTCTTTTTCCCCTCGCAATAATCGTTTGCGTTATTTTAACTTTACGACGTCACAAACGTCACAAACGGCTCTTACCTCTTTAAAGCACAACAGTTTGAGGGCGCTAAATTCACATAAATGACTCACTGTTAAAAACATTCAACAAACTTTTGATTGGTTAACATAACTATTTCTTTAACAAATAGTGACACAGCGTTTACATCCTAATAAAATCTAAATCATTAACATTGTAAAAATAGTAACATTTGAAGAGGCAAGCATTTCAGTATATATGATTACAAACATATCATTTCAAGAGGTTACAAGCATATCGAGATGTGAGTTTGCCATCATATTAATACTGATATTAATTTATATATATCGAGGAAGTTTAAATATCAATTCATGGGACATGCGATTAACAGCATATCAATACATGATTACATGTATTTCAAATTCATGAGGTTGCAGGCAACTAAGCATAATTATAAGATAAAAACAAGTTATGAACTTTAAAAGTATCACCACGTAAGTGATAAATCTAGAGAAAACAAGAATCAAGCTCAAAAGTTCATTGAAATAATAAAAATTGGCAGCAGAGAAACATGGACCTCTAAAAACATAGAAGTGCATTGGATCAGATGCCATGGAGGAGTAAATTCTCCTGTCGACCATTTACATCTGCTCTATGTATCATGTCATGGTCGGACCAACAGAAAAATCCGTAGACAACTCATTGTGTTAATGATTGCCTAGGTATGAAAAACGACAGTCGTCATTCGACCTTTTGCTAACCAGGTCACTATATCGACCATAAAACTTGAACATGATGACTTTAAACGACACTTAGGAAATTCTTGTTTCATCAATTTTTTGTTTATCAATAGATAGCGTTGTTTCTTACGTGCAGCATACTCTTTCGTTTCGAATTAACCTCATATGCAGGTGATTAGGGTATATTGCTAGATAAGTAGGGTAAGATGACGAAAGAAAAGCTGAACTTTACACGTTTATCACAAAGTATTGTTGCAAAAGATTAATTTAAAAGTATTTTTCTAGCCACATTTGATGTGTCAAGCTGGTACATATATCTTTATTTGGTTGCATCAACAAAAGAGGTTACAAGCATATCAAAACGTGAGATTACTAGCATAATTAATAGTATGTGTTTACACACATATCAATACAAGAAATTACAACTGTGAATTAGGTAACTCAATTTGTAGTTGTCGTATGCATTGGATGAAGATTTTTCGAAATATTTGTTCACTACCACATTTTAACGAAACCTTAACACTTACTGTACATGTAGCTTGTCCCATGCTTTAACATCATGATTTGAACATGCACTGTTGAATCATGATAGCATATAAATTACGTACTTTGCTCATAATAATTTCTTATGTCAATCGCACATATTTTCAATAGTTTAAAAACAATTTAATGGTTAAGATTCAATAATTCAATGAATTAAATCTGGATTCTGTTAAAAACACACACACACACACACACAAACAAAAACATTGACCAGAAAATTATCTCACAGGAAACCTCCATGTAAAGAAAATCTGTGTCTTAATGATGAATGGTTTATATCCAGAAAAATGAATGATTATCTTCATAATATTCCTTTACATGGAGTGGATAAGAAAATGTATGAGTATACTATATTCGATTCTGAAATGTCTTGTACGTATAACAAAATGGTATTCACACATTATTGACAACATTTAAATAAAAATAATTTTAAAAAATCGAGAGAAAAACGAAAAACTCGATGTTGAAGACAAACAAACACAGAAACAATTTCAAAGTATTTTTAAAGCGTGGATATTTATACCAATGATCAATTATTACCATTCGTGCATAAAGTTTTGTTTTGTAAAGTAGGCAATATAGTCATTTTATATTGCAAAATGAAACAGAAAAGTTACTAACCTAGTGTTGTCCTTAACTTTGAAAATCGTCACATTAACAAGCAATCCTTAGTTCGGCCTTCATCAATCATCTGTGTTAACGGGACGATTTTTGTCAAGCTGACAATGTGATAAAACTCGGGAATCGGGTTATAATTTATCATTTTAGTCCAAACAAAGGTCAGGA